CATTCAAAAGATGTATGTATGTTCTGTATGTATGGTGTGGCCACATGTGTGTATGAAGTGTGATTGTAAATGTGTGACTGTTAACAAAAGAATGCTATTGTGTTGTCTTGGAATCATTTAATTGCTGGGGAGGGAGCAATAGTTGTTAAAGTACAGGTTACTTGGGAGGGAAATTTTTGCTTTTTTTCCATGGAGGGTGAAGACCTGTGGATTCTTTCCAGACTGGTATGGTTTCATGGGGCAGGACCCCCTGAAGTAGTGGCCTAGGTGATCTGAATATTTGTTTTCATTTAAATTTGGTTGGTTAGAAATGGTAGTGGTCACAGTCAATCACTTTTAAAAGGAAAAAGGAGGAATATGATATAGAAATGATACTTCGTATTGGAATGGATCCTCATTTGTTGATACTTTGTATTGGAATGGATCATCATTTGTTGATACTAGTTAGGTTTTCTAGATATATACATATTCTTCAAACCTTTCAAAGACCTACAGAAAATATGGCATTTAAATGGTTTAGTGTTTTTTCTTGACAGTGAGACACAACTGCTCCTGGCACACCAATTATATCTGAGACGAAGATGGGCATCCAAGAAACTAGTTATAGAGTTTGCCTTTGACATGGCAAGACTAGCCATTTGGGCAAGAAGCTACTCTTGCCTGAACTGTTTAACTGTTGCTTTATAGACTGGACATGCAGGACTCACAGGAAAATGCCTAAAGGGTTCCTGCTTCATGGAGGAGTACAAACTGCCAATGCAGGACAGTTTAGAATTCCCTGCTCCATAAAAGAGTCTACCAGACATTCTACATGACACAGAAAAAAAGATGACAGGCAAACTGCCAATGCAGGTGGACAGTTCAGAATTTCCTGCTTTGCTGAGAAGTCTGCCAGACACATTGTGGCCTGTAGGCTAAAGATGGAAGCCCCAAGGTTACCAAGAAACTTTAGATGACTGTCTAGGAAGCAAGGTTTCTCTGTCAGTTCTAGAGTTTATATATTATACTTCTATGGTCTTTGATGGAGTTGAAGACAGATAGTTATAGTAACGCACTAAGACAGAATGGCTGATAGAATATTTTCTTAAATATTACTGTTCTTACTTGATACTATTTTGTTATATATAAAGAAGGGGGAGATGTTGGTACTGCTGCTAGGAGTCTTCGCTGGGGCCATTCTTGTAGACTCTTGGACATTTCCCTTGCCTCAGGCTTTTACCCATAAAGCCCCCTTTCCAGTCATCTTTCTCAGCACTCTTCTCTCCATCCACCCCCCAACCTGATACCTCAAGTTCTCAAACCCCCAGTCCAAGCAGAGATTTCTATTTCCCCTTTATTGGGAGATTTCTGTGCCCCCTCCTTGTTACCCCAAAATATGGAATGCGTCACGAACTGAAGTACTTTTTAAAGTGTAATGACCCACACACCCTCCCTCATGGCTGCTGTGTGTATATACTTTCTCTTGAGTCATTACCATCAGCCAGATGCAAAAGCATCCACCAAGAGTTTTCCCATCACACTGCTCACATTCTAGCTGGGGAGATGGCATCCTACCAAGCAGAATTAGGAAATCTTTAAAACCTCTAAATGTCTTTTCCCAGCATAAAAGATATATATATATATATATATATCTTAAAGATCAGCAGTTGCTAAGGATTAGAGAAGGAGGGGTGAAACCAGAGAAGCATAGATTTTTAGGGCATTGAAGCTATGTTGTGTGATTCCTTTGATTAGCATCCTCCTGCAAGCAGCTCTCGTGGGTCCAACATCAGAAAATCTGTTTCCTGTGTCTGTCTCTCTGGGGCTTGATGACTTTGAAAATGCATGTTTAAAATAAATCATCTATTTCATTTACTCAGATTTCACTGTATTTTCTTTTCTACCAATACTGAGAAAATGGCTCTGAGATGACACTTTAATCAGAGAAACTAGCAAGAATCAATGGAAAACAAAAAACAGATGTTAGTGAGAAAGGACTTCACATTTGATCATTACTTTGTTAAAAGATGGTACAAGGTGGACCCATGAGGGATGTACTCGTTTTGAAACTAGGTGGTGAAGTGATTTGCAGCTGCTGTGCATTCAGTGACATTCCTTATGTGGAATGTCAGGACCATATGCATCTTAAAGGAGCAAGTTAGAAGCCAGAGTGTGACTGCATAGACAAGTGCGTGGGAGAGGTCATGTGGTCACGGGTGTCGGCCTCACAGTCTGTGAATATTGTCTGACCTTGACAATACTGGGAGACCTGTATGAATGTTACAGAGTGATGGAAGGTCACAGTCAAGGTGTGGCCCTATGGTGAAAGTGCTGATGGGTATCCAGACCAATGTGAGGTTTGGGAAGTAAAGAGTCAGGATAAGAATCACACATTTCCATCGAGGTAGACAGACTCAGTGGGAGGCTGTGGGGCACAATCTGCTCCAAGTGGTAAGTGAGCACTCACACCTATGCCAGAACAAGGCCCAAGTACAGAGCAGAGCCTGTCAACGACAACAACAATCCAATAGGAAACATGTTACTTTGGGAAATAAGGGAGGACTGTGTTATTCTTTATAGAAAAAGATCAGGAACAGCCAGGCTTACAGTCTCATGAAGATTCTAACTGGCTCTCTACCCCCTTTTAGAAGTTCCCTATACTCTCAAGAGTATAGGGATTTACAGATTTACAGTATAGGGATTGCTAGATTTACAGTACTGGGTTGAATTATGAAGCCTAAAGATAATTCAAACTGCTGCTAGATTTACAGTACTGGGTTGAATTATGAAGCCTAAAGATAATTCAATGTTAAATCTGTGGGTCCACAGTGATGCAACAGGAACACAGGTCAGCATATGAGAGCTGGAACCTCCTTCTGTCACTTCTCACTGTTAACAATCCCTAGACCTTGCTTCCTAATCTACTAAACAATGCCCAAGAATAGAAATACTTAGAAAATTAAATAACATAGTATGTGTAAAAACATTAGCATGGTGCCTGCTACATCATTGCTTAGCTAAGAACATGGTCTTAGGTTCTTAACATTCTCAGATGTATCTGATATATCCATTTCTCTACACACCCATTGCTCTGTCTGTCCACAGTAAAAGTTTCATATAAGCCAAAAAGTCCCATAGCTTTCTCAGCATTATCCATGAATGTAAAATTTCATACCAGGGCTGGGGAGAACACACACACACAAATACAGGTGTCAACAACAAAACAGTAAGTGGAGCTACACCAAACTTTAAAAATTTTGTGCACTCAAGGCTGACACAATCCAGAGTGAATACACTGCAGAGTCTGACACGAGGGAGATTCTGCCCTAGCAGCACAGTCTTTTCCCAGCATCCCTCAGGAGCGTGCAAAGGAGGTGAGGTGTGTACTGAAAGAAAAAGCTCAGGTGACAGGACTGTATGAATGGTGGAGGGCAGAAAGGACTGCTCTAGATGGAAGGCTGAAGAAATCTTGTCCTGTCCCAGCCCCTCTCTCCAACTACCAGATTCCTACATCCATAAATCCATGTTCACCTGAGTACCCAAGAATCATCTCACACTCTGCATCTTTATTCCTGGTTACCGGCCCTCACACATGTCCTCCCTGATGCCCCTTTCCTCTAAAGATGGCAGCCTCACTCGCTCAGTTCCGAAGTCAAAGTCACGGAGACCCCACCACCCTTGTGCACCTCTGTATCTGCTAGTAAAGGAGACCCCATGTTGCATTCAGTGAGCAGAATATACTTCTGAATTCTCAGCCACACAATCTATGATAATTACTTAGGGCAGCTCAAGCTGACAAAGGCACATAGAAAAAAAGAACAATCATAGTCTGTTTTTCTGGGATTCCTGGCAGCTCTCATTGCATTCTGCTTCCGTTTTGTTGGAGCCACACTTTTCTTAGGGCTTCCAAAAGCCTCTAATGTCTAACAGTTACTCTACCCCCGAGCTCTGTAAGTAAGAACTGTGTAGCTGGAAGAACCGAGAGCACATTTCTTGTCTAATCCATTTTGCCTGAAAGGTTGTGAGTGAAGGGCAATGGTTTTCCCCTCAGTAGGCTCACAATGAGTGATATCCACTGTATGAAGAAGAACAAATGCTGTGAATTCCAAGGACTGGCCAAGGCTCTTTAAAAAGACATATTTACATATGTATGTGCACATTGATGTGTCTGAGTGTAGGCATGCTTTTGCCCCAATGAACCCATTACAAACCACAGGTGTCCATCCTTGTTTGAAACAGGATTTCTGTTGATTGTACAATGTATGCCAGGCTAGCTGGGCAGTGAGTTTTGAGGGACTCCTGTCTCCACCCCCCATAGGAGGTATTGATATAGGAGTGTTGGGATTACAGATATGTGCTACCATGCATGGCTTTTACATGGGTTCTGGGGATTTGAACTCAACAAGTCTTCACATTTGCATGGCCAAGTGTTTTTCCCACTAAGCCACCTCCCCAGCTCCCTTGCCACGGTTCCCAGAAGTAGAAGGTTCATGTGTCCGGGATGAGTGTATGCGTTATGAAGGGTGAGTAGCCTCAGAAACTCCCCTCTGTTCTTCAGTCTGATTCTCATTCTCCTTCACTCACATGTGCGTCTCCTCTATGTCATTCTCCTTTGAATTCTGACATATTTGATTATCTGTGTTATTTCTGCTTCAGTTACTGTTGTCTACCCTTCCTGGTTATAGCGGAGCCCCCCAGCTGTGTGTCTTGTCTTCTAGTTTGATGCTGCCCTAGAAGTTGAGCCACAGAGTTGTGGCAAATCGGTAGAGCCCCCTTAAAGAGGGGCTTCCAAAGCTCAACACCTGAGGATTACTGCATCCCTCTTGCTTTGTCCTATCCAGGTAGCCTTACCCCTGATACATAAAAACAATACCCCTAACCAAGCAGCATATCGCTCAATGCTGAGTGTGTGGTTGGCAGTTAATAACTACCAGCTGAATACAGGTATGATACTCACTCCGGGCCCCCCGCCGGGCTGTCAAGCTCAGGAGTTTGGTCTCAGGCTCTTCCTCCACCATCTCTGGCTGGCCACCATCTTGGAATTTGTCTGACACCATTTTCTCAGGGGGAGTGGTGGGTGGCTGTGAATAGATGAGAGGTTTCTGAGATACCTGTACTTCATTGGCTCAGTCCCTTTCTTAAGATATGGCCAGGTCACTGTAGAAGGGCTGGGCCTTACCACTTCCCATGCTGTACACGATGGCTCTGTTGTTCAGGTCACTGAGGCCAGCCTGAGTAGTTACTAGGAAGCTTCCCATCATAGTGTTGAAGTGACCCAAAATAAGACAATAATTTTCACATTTGCTAGGGAAAAAGCTTAAAGCTATGCAGGGAATTGCAGCAAAACACTTCACTCCCCACCCCAAATAGACAGAAAGGTACTGTTCAAGTGTTACTGGCTAATCTGGGCTGATACTGTTTCCACACTGGGTGCCCCTGAGAATAGCCTGTGGTGTCTTCCTCAAAGTGTTGAGGAAGCAGGGCTGGCAAGGATGCCTGTGTGCCAGGCAGACTAAAGCTCACAACCAACTCAGCCTGGCTGTAAGCCTTGGGCAAGCATATACCCACTTTCTCTGTAAAAGCATTGTTATGCATTGGGGATTGCAGCACTGCCCTGTCTCTGTAAACTCATTGCTATGCACGGGGAAATGCAGCACAGAGATTTGGATGGAAATAGATCACCAAAAGGATGGGGGCATCTGAATAAAACCATGGTGGGGATCAAGGCTCTAGTGTAGGTTAAAGGAACACAAGGATGCCTGTAAAGTTGGGCTTCCAAAACTCAACCACTCAGAGTTACTGCATTCTCTGTGGCTTTCTACTGTTTGGTCCAAAGATGCCAGGCAGCTTTATCTTCAGCCACTCCCAGCTCACTGAGTGATTCTAAAGTACTTTTAATCTGACACCACAGGGTTCTCCGCCCAGGGCTAGCAGAGTAACAAACAGACTGAACTGCTAAAAGCTTCAGGACGCTATGTGGCTATAGGTGTCCCTAGTCTCCTAGAGTGGGCGGAGATGGCCCGGTCTGCTCTGGCAGCTCCCCTCATACCCCTGTGCCTTCCTCCATGGCTGGATTCAGCATGAAGGGAAGGTAGAAGGCGCTTGTCTTCTCCACTTTCCCTAGCTCCCAGTCCCCTCTCCACCTCCCGGGTCTACTCTCCCTCTCCTGGCAGTCTCATCATGTGACCGCAAGCTCAAAATGGCGCTCCCTTTCCCTCCCTCCCATGCTGGCATAATGATTAATCCAGGCAAGTCCGGTCTGTAAGAGCCCCTTTCTTGCTTTCCTCTCCGGGACAGCAGCCTCTTATTAAGGCAACTGAATTACCTTGTGGGGATGCTTCCAGCGGAGGAGGGAAACTCCTGCGGAGAGGTGGGGGGAGAGATGGCTGCAGGCTGGGAAGACAGGAGTTAACTGTGAATTTGGGACTTGGGGTAGGAGAAAGAGGGAGTCTCCTAAGATTTGTGACCCTGCACTGCCATCTACTGCTCACCATAGTCTATGACCATTGGTGCCAGCACTCAAATCAGCTGCCTTCCTCCTTCCTAGACATACACAAAATCAAAACAAAGAAACAACAAAAACAAACAGACAAAAACTCTTAACATGGGTCATAGCCTTATTTGGAGTGCCATCTCTCTATAAGCCCCACACCAGCATCTCACACATTAGACCATCCATCTACATCCCTGCCTTACAGTGTCCAGGAGTGAGCCAAGACCTACTTCCCCGTGGGAGGGATGTTTTCTGGGGTGGCATTCTAGTTAAGTTTCTATTGCTGTGACCAAGAACAACTCGGAGAAGAGGGAGTTTATTTCACCTTGCACTTCCATGTAATAAATCATCACTAAGGGAAATCAGGACAGGAAATTAATGCAGGAATCTAAAGGCAGCAACTGAAGCAGAGGCCATGGAAGGAAGTTGCTTACTGGATTGCTGCCACAGTCGTGCTTACCTACCTTTTTTACACAGCCCAGGCCTACCTACCTAGGGATAACACTGCTTACAACGGGCTGGACCATTCTACATCAATTGTTAATCATGAAAATGCCCCACAGGCCAATTCCTTGGTTGAGGTTCCCTCTTCCCATGAGTGTCAAGCTGATAATGAAGATTACTAACACAGAGGGATCTGTGTGGCTTCCTAGAGGTGCAGGCAGGGTGTCCCTCAGTGACCTGTATCAGTAATATTCTCCATGGACAGACACAATTTCTTATCATTTATTACCTTTTTCTTTTTCTGTTTTCTCTGGACCTTTGAATTCTTCTTCCGTCTTCCCACCTCTGCATCCACATCATCTCCAGTGAACTCCTTTGTCAAAACACAAAGAGAAGAAGATACTCTTCAGGTACTTTCCCTCTGAACTCAGCTGTCCTAAGGCGCCCACTACCACAGGGTTGAGCAAAGGGACAGTTAAAAAAAATCTAAGGGGCCGTCCACTTGGCATTCTTCTCAAAAAAAGGCAGGCTCTGGAGAACTTTCACTCTAACTGAAACATTGTAATGGATAGTGTTAAAATCCCCATTGTTATTGTTACAAGTGCTCATTCATGCTTTCAACATTTATTGAGCACTTAGTGTAAACCAGGTCCTGGGGGTATTGTGTGGTCCCCACTCTCATTCTAAGAAAGGTGATTATCAAGAGAAATTTCCAAGACAGATGGAGAGGCCGGGACAGACAGTAGACTCATGTTCGAGATTTCATTTGGTGCTAGGCAGCAGGCAAGTAAGATGAAAGGAAACAATACTATGAGTTGAATTAGCAGGCATTTCCACTCGGGAAGGGAAATTTGGCAGATCTTTTTGGAAATGGAAAAGTGTAAACATCACTTTTTTTTTTTATTTTGGATCAGACATTTTATACCTGAGTTTAGAGCTAAAATCTCTGAGGTGTTCAAACTTCACCATTTCCTCCTTAAGCAATTTTATAAATGTTGGCATCAGCACTTCTGAATGAACAAGAAACTGCAAGGTGCCTGGCTGTGGAGTGACCACCTGTGATCCCTGCCCTGGGGGGGGGGGCTGAGGTGAGAAGGTTGGGACAGCCTGGGCTGTACAGAAAGCTGAAGGCAGCTTGAGTTACAAAGTGAGGAAATCTCAACAACAAATGAATAGACAAACAGAAACATCAGGGCTCTTCCTGCCTTGCCAAATCTATGGACGCAGAATTGGGAAGCAGAGCTTAGATATTAGTGGTGTAAAGCTTCATAGAAACCTGACACAGATGGATGATCCACGTCCCCATTATTCCCCTTCCTCCTTGACTGTTGGGATCAGGGAAGACACAGAGATCAGTTCCAGAGGAGGGAGTCAAGATCCCAGCCAGGGAATGGGCTTGCCTTGGGCTTTTGGTTTTGCGATGAACTCTGTCTATCTGGAGTTTTGAGTAGAGGTCCCATCCTTGCTCCTCTCCCCAGACCACTCTTAGCTTGGAGACTTTCTGAGAGGATGATAATGTCCAGGTGATTGGGAATGACTCAAAGTCTAATTTTTAGTTTTCTTTGGCTTTGAACAAACCATTGAGAAATCTAGCTCATCATTTGTTCTCTAGTAGTGTCCTAATCCTTAGTCAATGGGAAAGCGTACAGTGGGAGTTATGGGATGATGGAATGCAAGCTCAAAGCCACAGGACTTTCTTCATGGCTAGATCACCACAGACTGTTAAAAAGAATGGACAACAGAGAGAGGGGTGTGTGGATCATGAGCACGTGACAACTTGCTTAAAGTTAATCTGCGTGGTTTTATTAAGAGTGCCCTCAGAGGGCTGGAGAGATGGCTCAGTGGTTAAGAGCACTGGCTGCTCTTACAGAAGACCCAGGTTCAATTCCCAGCACCCACATTGCGCTCACATTTGTCCATAATGCCAGTTCCAAGGGATCTGACACCCTCACACAGACATGCATGCAGGCAAAACCACTAATGCACAGAAAATAAAAATAAATTAAAACAAAATGTGCCTGTAGGTTTTGTTTTCTGTGTTCTCAACCCCATGAGCCTTAATCCAGGGGGAAGTAAGAGTTTGGAGAAATCTTGCCTCTGCTAAGTGAACTGCAGTCTCCATTGTAGGTGTCTTCTCTTGCCTAGTCTGAGTTTTTGTATAAGAGGAGTCAGAAATGGCAGGTCTCTACGACAGGCTTTTATTCATAACCTACAATTGTCAAAAATGGTTAGATTTCTTAGAATTGGTGTTCTCTGATCTGGACCCTGTAGAGGACATTGAGAGCTGCTGTGTGCTGGATTCATGAAGTGGTGACAAAAGTTCCAGAACACTCAGGTAGAGGTGAGACGCCAGGGTATGCAGGGTTGCATAGCCTTCATCATCTGCCTCCTTCCCCAACAAAGGCAGAAAAAGGGATACCTGAAGTACGTGTTCTGGAATATATTAAATTAAACTAAGTTTGGTCCAAGGATGCCTCTGTACTTGGTGGATGTAACAAAGGATAACTTGGTATGCAAATGAGCTAAATATAGGTGGGGTGTGTGTGTTTCTTTTTTTGTTGTTTTTGCTTTTTCGAGACAGGGTTTCTCTGTGTAGCTTTGGAGCCTATCCTGGCACTCTCTCTGGAGACCAGGCTGGCCTCAAACTCATAGAGATCCACCTGCCTCTGCCTCCCGAGTGCTGGGATTAAAAGGGTGCGCCACCAACACCCAGCAGGGTGTGTGTGTTTCTAACAAATAGTTCTACCTTGGAGAATCTGAGAAGCTTTTCTTAGTCAATCACAGGCCAGCAAAAATGATTAGATTAGATGTGTTCAAACAAGGCAACCCTGAGTTGCAGTCAAGCTGGCTTTTCTAGGATCTCACTTCTGATGAAGGCTATGCAACCCTGCAGACATCCCGAGGTCTCACCTCTGCCTGAATGTTCTAGAACTTTGGTCACCATTTCATGAATCCAGCAACTGTGCAGAGCACAGCTCCCCATAGCTCTTCTGGTTCTCAGAACTGTCTCATCCTGCTAAATTTAATTTGTCTGAAGCATCCCTTTCAACAAATGCAATGAATGCTTGCTGCCCGACTGAACTTCCTTACCCACAAAGGGTCCCAAGGGGAAGCCAAGCAGTGACTTACCTCTGAAATTATTCTTACTTCTTCTTCCTTGGGATTCATCTTGGCTGTGATGGTTTCCAGACTGAGAAAGAATGAGGAAGAGGTCAGGCAGAGTTAAATCATCAGTGTCTCTTGCTGTTGATGTAGGGAGACTGAAGATTATGCACATGGTTGAGCTGTTCGCCACAAGCACAGCAAAACCCAGGAATGGAGGAAGAGAAGGAGGGGTGCTAGTACTCTGCCCCTAGTACACCCTGGTGGGCAGACAGACATTGGCTGGAAGTTGGCTACAAAGGCCATCTCTGGCTTTGCTCTCTTCCTGCAGTGTAAGTCTCAGTTTTTAATTGCCTTCTCATTTCAATGAGAAGAGAGGTGAGACCTGAGAGGGCACCAGTTTGTCTCACCTCCTGCAATTTCCACTGGGTCATAACATTCCTCACTTCAACTTGCTGCTGTGCTGTGGTCTCTGCCTTCACCTAGCCCAGCTCTTGGTGGTCAGTAGGTTCCATCACTTCCCTCCCAGGAAGGTGATCTTATAATCTCCCTCCCCAACCCTGCTGCCTCAACAGTCATTTCTTCCTGCTCTCAAGTCTCATTCCTATCAGAGTTAAAAATAACCTGCCTTTTCCTTACACAAAAATGCCTTCTCTCCATTTCACTTCTCTTTGTAGCCATTTCTTTATTTTTCAGCCTTCCTAGGAACAACTAGGAATCTCCTGACACTTCTGCCCCCCACATTGCTCACCTAATGTGGAGCAATGTGCTTGGAGTCCAGGCTGAATGGTTGGAAATTAAGTAGGATCATGACATTCTACCACCCACAGCCCTTCAATGGCTCTTCTTTGCCTAATGAGTGAAATTGAAAATCCTGTCAAAGCCTTATGTACCTTTGGCTGCTTTTGCACTTGGACCCTCTTGCTTACACATGCTTTTTTTTCTCTACCTAGAACTTCTTATAGAAGCTAGGTACACTGTTAGACTCTTCCCCTCCTTCTCAACTTCCCTCCCTCCCTTCCTTCCTCCATCTCTCCCTTCCTCATTCCCTCTCTGTCTTTGTGTCTCTGTCTCTGTCTCCCCCCCCCAAACACACACCACA